AAATAAAAGATTTTGGAATATTTCATACTGGGAAATACGGATGTAAAAATTTCGAGCATCTCAACACCCCTCTTTTCGCGATTAGAGCCATATTTACGGAGATATATCGATTTAAAGTTTTGGTTGGTCCACCAGCCGATAAATAAAAGATTTTGGAATATTTTATACTGGAAAATACGGATATAAAAATTTCGAGCATCTGAACACCCCTCTTTTCGCGATTAGAGCCATATTTACGGAGATATATCGATTTAAAGTTTTGGTTGGCCCACCAGCCGATAAATAAAAGATTTTGGAATATTTCATACTGGGAAATCCGGATATAAAAATTTCGAGCATCTGAACACCCCTCTTTTCGCGATTAGAGCCATATTTACGGAGATATATCGATTTAAAGTTTTGGTTGGCCCACCAGCCGATAAATAAAAGATTTTGGAATATTTTATACTGGGAAATCCGGATATAAAAATTTCGAGCATCTGAACACCCCTCTTTTCGCGATTAGAGCCATATTTACGGAGATATATCGATTTAAAGTTTTGGTTGGCCCACCAGCCGATAAATAAAAGATTTTGGAATATTTTATACTGGGAAATCCGGATATAAAAATTTCGAGCATCTGAACACCCCTCTTTTCGCGATTAGAGCCATATTTACGGAGATATATCGATTTAAAGTTTTGGTTGGCCCACCAGCCGATAAATAAAAGATTTTGGAATATTTTATACTGGGAAATCCGGATATAAAAATTTCGAGCATCTGAACACCCCTCTTTTCGCGATTAGAGCCATATTTACGGAGATATATCGATTTAAAGTTTTGGTTGGCCCACCAGCCGATAAATAAAAGATTTTGGAATATTTCATACTGGGAAATACGGATGTAAAAATTTCGAGCATCTCAACACCCCTCTTTTCGCGATTAGAGCCATATTTACGGAGATATATCGATTTAAAGTTTTGGTTGGCCCACCAGCCGATAAATAAAAGATTTTGGAATATTTCATACTGGGAAATCCGGATATAAAAATTTCGAGCATCTGAACACCCCTCTTTTCGCGATTAGAGCCATATTTACGGAGATATATCGATTTAAAGTTTTGGTTGGCCCACCAGCCGATAAATAAAAGATTTTGGAATATTTCATACTGGGAAATCCGGATATAAAAATTTCGAGCATCTGAACACCCCTCTTTTCGCGATTAGAGCCATATTTACGGAGATATATCGATTTAAAGTTTTGGTTGGCCCACCAGCCGATAAATAAAAGATTTTGGAATATTTCATACTGGGAAATCCGGATATAAAAATTTCGAGCATCTGAACACCCCTCTTTTCGCGATTAGAGCCATATTTACGGAGATATATCGATTTAAAGTTTTGGTTGGCCCACCAGCCGATAAATAAAAGATTTTGGAATATTTTATACTGGGAAATCCGGATATAAAAATTTCGAGCATCTGAACACCCCTCTTTTCGCGATTAGAGCCATATTTACGGAGATATATCGATTTAAAGTTTTGGTTGGCCCACCAGCCGATAAATAAAAGATTTTGGAATATTTCATACTGGGAAATACGGATGTAAAAATTTCGAGCATCTCAACACCCCTCTTTTCGCGATTAGAGCCATATTTATGGAGATAAATCGATTTAAAGTTTTGGTTGGCCCACCAGCCGATAAATAAAAGATTTTGGAATATTTTATACTGGGAAATCCGGATATAAAAATTTCGAGCATCTGAACACCCCTCTTTTCGCGATTAGAGCCATATTTACGGAGATAAATCGATTTAAAGTTTTGGTTGGCCCACCAGCCGATAAATAAAAGATTTTGGAATATTTTATACTGGGAAATCTGGATATAAAAATTTCGATTATCTGAACACCCCTCTTTTCGCGATTAGAGCCATATTTACGGAGATATATCGATTTAAAGTTTTGGATGGCCCACCAGCCGATAAATAAAAGATTTTGAAATATTTTATACTGGAAAATCCGGATATAAAAATTTCGAACATCTGAACACCCCTCTTTTCGCGATTAGAGCCATATTAACGGAGATAAATCGATTTAAAGTTTTGGATGGCCCACCAGCCGATAAATAAAAGATTTTGGAATATTTTATACTGAGAAATCCGGATATAAAAATTTCGAGCATCTGAACACCCCTCTTTTCGCGATTAGAGCCATATTTACGGAGATAAATCGATTTAAAGTTTTGGTTGGCCCACCAGCCGATAAATAAAAGATTTTGGAATATTTTATACTGGGAAATCCGGATATAAAAATTTCGAGCATCTGAACACCCCTCTTTTCGCGATTAGAGCCATATTTACGGAGATATATCGATTTAAAGTTTTGGTTGGCCCACCAGCCGATAAATAAAAGATTTTGGAATATTTCATACTGGGAAATACGGATGTAAAAATTTCGAGCATCTCAACACCCCTCTTTTCGCGATTAGAGCCATATTTATGGAGATAAATCGATTTAAAGTTTTGGTTGGCCCACCAGCCGATAAATAAAAGATTTTGGAATATTTTATACTGGGAAATCTGGATATAAAAATTTCGATTATCTGAACACCCCTCTTTTCGCGATTAGAGCCATATTTACGGAGATATATCGATTTAAAGTTTTGGATGGCCCACCAGCCGATAAATAAAAGATTTTGAAATATTTTATACTGGAAAATCCGGATATAAAAATTTCGAACATCTGAACACCCCTCTTTTCGCGATTAGAGCCATATTAACGGAGATAAATCGATTTAAAGTTTTGGATGGCCCACCAGCCGATAAATAAAAGATTTTGGAATATTTTATACTGAGAAATCCGGATATAAAAATTTCGAGCATCTGAACACCCCTCTTTTCGCGATTAGAGCCATATTTACGGAGATAAATCGATTTAAAGTTTTGGTTGGCCCACCAGCCGATAAATAAAAGATTTTGGAATATTTTATACTGGGAAATCCGGATATAAAAATTTCGAGCATCTGAACACCCCTCTTTTCGCGATTAGAGCCATATTTACGGAGATATATCGATTTAAAGTTTTGGTTGGCCCACCAGCCGATAAATAAAAGATTTTGGAATATTTCATACTGGGAAATACGGATGTAAAAATTTCGAGCATCTCAACACCCCTCTTTTCGCGATTAGAGCCATATTTATGGAGATAAATCGATTTAAAGTTTTGGTTGGCCCACCAGCCGATAAATAAAAGATTTTGGAATATTTTATACTGGGAAATCCGGATATAAAAATTTCGAGCATCTGAACACCCCTCTTTTCGCGATTAGAGCCATATTTACGGAGATAAATCGATTTAAAGTTTTGGTTGGCCCACCAGCCGATAAATAAAAGATTTTGGAATATTTTATACTGGGAAATCCGGATATAAAAATTTCGAGCATCTGAACACCCCTCTTTTCGCGATTAGAGCCATATTTACGGAGATATATCGATTTAAAGTTTTGGTTGGCCCACCAGCCGATAAATAAAAGATTTTGGAATATTTCATACTGGGAAATACGGATGTAAAAATTTCGAGCATCTCAACACCCCTCTTTTCGCGATTAGAGCCATATTTATGGAGATAAATCGATTTAAAGTTTTGGTTGGCCCACCAGCCGATAAATAAAAGATTTTGGAATATTTTATACTGGGAAATCCGGATATAAAAATTTCGAGCATCTGAACACCCCTCTTTTCGCGATTAGAGCCATATTTACGGAGATAAATCGATTTAAAGTTTTGGTTGGCCCACCAGCCGATAAATAAAAGATTTTGGAATATTTTATACTGGGAAATCTGGATATAAAAATTTCGATTATCTGAACACCCCTCTTTTCGCGATTAGAGCCATATTAACGGAGATAAATCGATTTAAAGTTTTGGTTGGCCCACCAGCCGATAAATAAAAGATTTTGGAATATTTCATACTGGGAAATACGGATGTAAAAATTTCGAGCATCTCAACACCCCTCTTTTCGCGATTAGAGCCATATTTATGGAGATAAATCGATTTAAAGTTTTGGTTGGCCCACCAGCCGATAAATAAAAGATTTTGAAATATTTTATACTGGAAAATCCGGATATAAAAATTTCGAACATCTGAACACCCCTCTTTTCGCGATTAGAGCCATATTAACGGAGATAAATCGATTTAAAGTTTTGGATGGCCCACCAGCCGATAAATAAAAGATTTTGGAATATTTTATACTGAGAAATCCGGATATACAAATTTCGAGCATCTGAACACCCCTCTTTTCGCGATTAGAGCCATATTTACGGAGATATATCGATTTAAAGTTTTGGTTGGCCCACCAGCCGATATTAAGGAAATATTTGTATAAACAGTGTCAAAATATTGATACTAGAATCCTCCGATGAATGTCACTGACCAAATCACGTAACTTCTATGTGATAATCCTGTGACGTTTAAGCTCCATGAAATGAGTGCCCCTACATGAGATTGACGTAGCTCTTATGTGAAAAGTACGATGGAAAAAATATACGTATGTTTTCACGTAGCATTTTGAAAATTATTCAGAGTGTAGAACTGCCAAGACGACAAATGAACAACATCGTTCGGATTCAGATCGATGTTTTGCATTCGTCATCTTCTCAGTCCCAACTTTGTATACTCAATTTGGGGTACAGTCAACTTTCGCTCGTTGGGCTAAACCTGTAGCCCACTTAGTGAAAGACTTTTGTTGGTTGGGCTGAGCTGTCAAGCTGAAAATTGGTTGAGGGATACACCGATATCATCATAATCCTTAAGCAACTATGCAAATTGTTCATACATGAGCCCCTCGAAAATGAATCAGCACTGTCAGAAATGACGTTTGACTTCGATTTTGGTTAGCTACAGCCCAACTACAACGTAGCCCACTTAAACATAACCCAACGAGCGACTGTATTTCGTAAACTCGCAAAATAAATAACACCATCAATACAAACTCAACTTTATTCTAGAAATATTTAAACCAAATTAAGTCAATCTTTGTGCACTAGAATCACAGTTGCTATTATGTAGAAATGTGGTGTCTCGTGGTAATGCCGGATGTAGTCGTCCATTTTCGGATCCAAGATGTACTTCATCTTGTAGTGCACCCCTTGCTGCTGTTTCTCGACGATCGTCGCCAAGCTGATGATCCGGTGCCTGAAATTGATTCTATTAGTCAAGTTCAACTACAGATCGAATGCTAACCTCCTGTAGTTCATGTTCTTAACCCGATCCTTGATCTGCTTGGAGATGTTCTGGCACATTTGCAAATTCTTCGTCGGATCGTAGATGTAGCGCATCTCCTCTTCGTCCACGTCGAACTGCTTCTCAATGACCCGTTCCATGATGCGACGTATCTTCTCCGTGTTGAACAGCGGCCTCTGGTAGGGTTCTTCCTTTTCCTCCTTGTTGATCCGGTGGTTCAGTTCCTCGGTGATTTCCTTGAATCGATTCTTCCGTTTGGCCAGTGCAGCCGTTAGCGTGTCGCTGAACAACCCCGCGGCTCCACCCTTGCTGGGCGTTCGCGTCAGGCGGGTATTGCTGCTGCAGGTGGTGGTGGTGGTGCTGTTCGTTACATAATAATAATGTGGGTTGATTGAGTGATTACCTGGAGTTGTTTCAGGATACTTACGAAGCACCGCCAAGCTTTAACGATCCCCACGTAGCCATACGACACCGAGCTCACTGGGTCATACACGCACAAGTAAAAGACTTATGTTGCCTGCCAAAATACGAAAGACAAATCCTGCTTCGTACGCGTTCCCCTAGGAGTCAACAAACCGACTGCCCTAGTAGGGAACTGGGATTGTAGTGCAAAGCCAATAATTCCACCAACTCGAAAACCAAGGGAACTTTCGCAGTAGTAGTGGTAGTAGTAGGGCACGGATCTCAACTTCAAACCTGACACCTCTCCCGTGTCGGCGGCGGCGGCACTCCAGGATTCGTGCAATGTGATATTTCTATCCACGGTCTGATGGTGCGACGTAGCGAGGGGAAATAGCAGTTGGCTTCAGTGCACTTCGACGGCTACCGCAAGCTGAAAGTGATTGGAGCGTGCACGAAAAATAAGGATAGCAAAGCACCCCATAAAAGTTTATGCCCTTTATGGCGGCGAAGAGTACTTGGCTCACGCTCCATTCACAGCATTCTTTCATTCTTCGATGGGAAATTATTGCAACGAGAGCGTTGGGGTGGGTGTCCCAGTTATGGCAGCATGTGAAAACTGCGCACATTTTGGTGTGTTCTAATTTCTGCATCTGGTAGGTGAATGCATCCTTCCACCTTATCGCAAAGGTCATCAAAAGCTCGTATTCAACAACCACTCTATAGAGAGCTACTAGCTACTGTCTATGAAGTCCCCATCAACGCCAACATCGTTGACGGAGGGCGGGAGTGGGTGCTTCCTTTCGTGAATTTTTAGCATTACGCGCAATGTGCGGGTATCGACCGCATTCCCGCATAGTGGAAAACCGTCCCGCCGCGTCGTCGTCGTCGACGACGTGAAACCCAGCGTAACAAACAAACAAACAGCAGTTGTACATTTTCGGTTGTTGATGGATGCCGTTCAATGCTAAATAAAGCGTGTTTCGATTTCACTCAAACAGTTATTTTATTATTTTCGCGTGTTGAACTACACTTTCCGTAACAACGCTATAATTCAAAGACACCTTCTCCACCTCTTATACCTGTCCCACCGCTCTGCCTGAGGGTACTGACCAGTTATGCGTTCTTGTCCCACCAAAATGGTTGTGCTGTTCCGCTTTGTTTCAAGCTATCATCGTCATTGACGAAAGTTTGACCCTATTGTCAACGCATGGAAGTTGTGTTCCACTATTCATGTGGCCCATATAATCGCTGGAGGGCCAACGGGGGTGGATCTACAGGTTTGTGACCTGTGATGTCGCTGAAGTTCATACATGGATAGATCGACATTCTCTGACACCTGAGGATTTCAGAGGTGTAATCTTATTAATATTGATGTTCGAGCAATAAATCAAAGCTTGCTTTGTGTGGAATAGAAGGGCTGTGTGAATTTTATCGGAATCAGATCTGACATACAGATATTCTGCCAATACGTGTAACTGTCCCATGTTCCTTATGCACCGTGGGACTCTTATGTGTATAATGGCAGTATTGCTATTCTGTATTTATGAATTTGAACAAATTGTTGAAATGTTTACATGTATGCATCCGTCTTTAAAAACAAACATCTCGTTTTTCAGTTGCCAAAACTTGATTTTTTTGTGTCTAGTGCAGCAAAGTATTATGGGTTCAAACTACCCCCACACCTTGAGAGCCTTGACTTCCGACCAATATAAAATTGTGTTTTACCCTTCTTACAAAGAAGGGTATAGATATCACTTGAAAAACCGACTATCGATCCGAGGCCCGGAGGGCCGAGTGTCATATACCATTCGACTCAGCTCGACGAGATCGGAACATGTCTGTGTGTGTGTGTGTGTGTGTGTGTGTGTGTGTGTATGTGTGTATGTGTGTGTGTATGTAACGAAATGAATGTGCTCACGTTTCTCAGCTACCGCTCAACCGATTTGGACAAACTCGGCGCCAAATGATATGTCTTGGGGTCCCATTGAACGCTATTGAACGGTTTTGGAATCGGAAAACCGGTTCCGGAGATATGGCCGGAATAAGATCCGGTGAATATGGGCCTTCACGCTGGATTTAACGGAAAACGTATCAAAACCATCATGCGACACATCAAATTACTACAGAATTCAAAAATAAGATCAATGCAAGTCGTGTTAAGTGTTCCAGACCACATTGGACACACTTGGACATGTTCCGGGTACCCCGGGGAAGTTGCTTGAATATGAATTGAATTAAAACCCATTAAATCACATTAAAATACGATGATAAGGTGATTGGTAGCCTCACCAAACAGACTACACCCGGATATATTCCGGGTACCCCCAGGCAGTGGCGTAGCGTCACTGGATGACACGGGGGTGGGGGGCTTGGTCACTGATAATGACAATAAAATAAATAAAGTTGAATAAGTAAGAAGGGTCTGATCACACCATAGGTGGATAAATTCGGGTTTTTTTTATACAACAGGTAGGTCATCATCTGCACTTTTTAATATGTTCATTACATACCAAGTGAAAACTTAATCATATCTTGTCGTGGAGTGCTGTGGTTTTGAGATGCTCGATAACCCTAGAGGGATCGGTTTTGCTTAATGAGCAGAATATCATGGGTTTAATCCGGAGCTTTCCCACAACATAATAAACTGCCATCGTTGGGTTCCGAGTGCATAAAGCGCAGTTAATAACCAATAGTTGAATTGTTCAAACCATGAATTTCGGAAAGGGTGTATGCGTGATCTAGTTTGGAAGACATTGTTGGCTGCTTTCAGACAGAGACGTCGCTTCATTCGAATAGATTGTGGTAATGTAAGGGGCACGGTGGCTATAGAGCAACCGTTTTTTGCTTAATGAATCGAAGAGCCTCATTAAAATTAATGAGTTAATCTATCATCCAGGCCACTATATTGTAGAAAAGTGTTAATAACATAAATTGGAAGAACGATTCAGAAAAGTAATAAGTATATTTAGGCCAAAGTGACGTACGCCTGATCCGGTTCGGAAGGCATACTTTGATACTTTGAAGGATTTAATTTCATTGTAATAGCTTCTTGCAACCGATAATGAACGATCGTAGGTCGTAGTTTGTTGTGTTGTTAGGGGCACGGTGGCCTTAGAGCGACCGTTTTTGCTTACTGAGCAGAAGATCGTGAGTTAGAACCCAAGCTCCTTTACATTACTGAGTTGTTAGGGTCGCGTCATTTGCATAACAGGCTTTAAAAGATTGCATCGCTTCCCAATGTGAATCCAGATCTAACTTACCCTTCCCACTAACAAAAACGTCCTTCCCGTGACAGCCGTGAAGATGCAGAGGTATACTCGATTTCTAGTAACAACGGTTGTTGAAATAACAATCCTTTGTCTCCCCGATGACCGTAAGGACGTGGCCAGCGCCGTTATTGACCTCAAAAATAAGAATTCTCCGGATTTTGAACACTGAGAATGGATTGCTAGTCCCAAGCCCCATTCCCTATTCTTATGGTTCTTTGTGCAAATTTCGCTAAATCTGGTCAATCACAGAGTAGCAATCACAATATCAGCTTCAATCGACCAAATTGATGCAACGAAGAGTGTTAAAGTCGAACAGCTTCGCAGCATTCTAGAACCTCAGTCGGCGTGCACAAACAAATGTTCAATCGCTTGTCTCTCTTTCTCCCGTCGCTCCATTGGTCTTCCTTTCAAGCTTCGGTGAAACGGATGAGCGAAAGAGCGCTCGACTTTGATAGTTTTCTCTTTCATGAAACACATCAACAGAGGTTTCATGACGTATAGAGCTTTTTGACGTTTAATCGGCGCACACTACTGCACCATTTAAATCGAATGAGTGCGATCAAGAGGGAAACAGATTAGTGAGAAAACAAACCGTTCATTCATCCATGTAACGGCGCCGGTGGTGTAGTGGTAAGCGTGATTACCTCTCACCCCAGCAGGCCTGGGTTCAATCCCAGTCGGCGCCGCCGGGATGTTCTGAGGCATAACATCTCTGATCACGCCTTCCTTCGGATGAGAAGTAAAGCCGTTGGTCCCCGGTTCATGAGTTGATGGGTCGATAGGTAGGGTCCAGGTGTTGGGGCTGCCTTCCTGGCACGTCGGTAGCATTTGGTGCTCAGCACGGAAAACAAGATCGACGGAAAAAACAAACCAAAGGAAAAAAAAATCATCCATGTGTGCTAGATAGAGAAAGACGATTAAACGTCAAAAAGGTCTATATGACGGAAAATGAAATTACATATTTAAAGCATTTCTCACGTGAAAACACTTGAAGATTACACGTAATATGTTTAATTTATCTTCCATCCACATATTTATCTAAAAAAAAATAACGAAAACGGGACATAACGCATTTTAAACAAATTGAAAGAGCGGTGATAGAGTGTTCGTGAAAGGGGATTGAAAGCCATAATGAGGTTTTGTTTAACTAGAAAATCGACGTTACTTACATTGAAAGCGATGAGCAAAGCAACGACGAGAAGATCCACAGCCAGCGTTTCCTTCTACGCGTGCTTCTTTTTCATTATCATTTCTTGCTGATAAAGGGTGTCCACGATGAAATTGCCACACACAAAATTGATTCGCAAAATTCGAGTTTTCATCCGATTGCCATCAAATTTTCAGGGATTGAGAAATAACTATTAAACTTCATTTTACCATTTTACTGGTATTTTATTTACAGTCCATACGCAAATGCCCGCACGTTGGCCTTAACCCCGGCCATAAGATTCTGCACAACCTGTGAATCAACCGTTTTTTGCATGTAAACCCATACTTTCTTCAGTTCCTCGACTGTCTTCACTACCTTAGGTCGTTTAAGAAGGTGCTGCTTCATAATCGCCCAGTACTTCTCGATGGGGCGGAGCTCCGGAGTGTTGGGAGGGTTGAACATTTTCGGCACGAAATTGACCTTATTGTCCGCATACCACTTCAGCACGTCCTTGGAGTAGTGGCATGAGGCCAAATCTGGCCAGAAGATTGTTGGGACGTTGTGGGCCTTCAGGAGAGGAAGCAGCCGCTTCTGGAGGCACTCTTTTATGTACACCTGTTCGTTCATCGTGTCCTGGGTCACGAAAGGTGCACTCCGCTTCCCGCACGTGCAGATGGCTTGCCAAACCAGGAATTTCTTCGCAAATTTGGACATCTTCTGAGTGCGGACATGCTCCGGAACGCTGAAC